TGTGTTCTCATTATGCACAAGAGAAACTATGTACCCATCATCCTCATCGGCATCAGGGTTATCAAGTTCCTTAGCCACAAAGAACGGTTCACCGCCAAAATAACCCGACCCAAACATCCGACAAGCCACTATGCATTCCTGATGATGAACTTCTGATAATGCCATATCCAGTTTGACGACCCCTGAAATCTTAGGCGTTTGATCTGCAATACCACAATATATATACCTGCATGTTGTGTGTCTCATTTTAATATCAAAACTTTTATCCAGTTTTTTATTGGTGTTTATTGAAATATTTCTTAAGGCTTATATTTTATTTGATTCTATATCTAAAAAAAAATGTGCTTAACATTTACACAAACGTTCAATTTTCTCAAGTACAATATATATTAGCAATAATTTTACTCATATTGAATATTTTATTTAAAAAAATATCAGGAGGTTCCAGGTTCAAATCCAAGGAGAAATAAAAATCTTCTTGTGGCTATGGAGGTTCAAATATGGTGACTCCATGCTATCTGCAAAGTAGATGGTCGTCCTGCGTTTAGTCGGCTCACATAATGAATTGGATATCCAGGTTAATAAAAAAATATACCTTTATAAAGAGCCAACAATCATATCTTTATGCAATATACATCATTGATGCTCATGCTTCTATCTAAATTTTAATATTCACATTTGAAATTAAGGCCTAAAAATAAAATTTATACATAATGTTTTTCTTTTCTTAAACGATAAAAAGTATACTTGAAAAAAATGATTAATCAGTTTTATAACAACTATAGGTGTTGTTTGTTTATCTCTTAATAGTTCCATCAACATCTAAATCGTTAAAAGGTGAATCTTGTTTGACAAACTTCTAATGGTTCTAAAACTCTTAATGATTTTGTATCATTGACCTCATTTAAGCATTCACCACCCTAATTTCATTATGAATAATCATCAAATAATTATATTTTATTTTGTATTGTATTATAAAAGTCTTTTAATCATTCTGACCACTTAATCATTATGCATCAAACCATTATATTTAATTTGGATATTTTGCTAATTAAATAAAAAATAACCTGTTTTTTATGGTGCCAAAAGCCCGGTTGATGACGCTTAACTCTAGATTGCGAGCTGAAAGAGGGTGTCTTGTTACCATCCCCGTCTTTATATTGATCCTTAGCTTCTCTACCGATGCATGCATCAAATCCATCCTCTCCAACAGATGCTCAATCGATAATATGTTAGTCGCCACCATCACCACCATGAAGACAAACAAGGAAAAGCCACGTTATGTAGCCGATATGTGAAGACAAAAATAATTCAGTTTTGGAATGTTGGCTTGCAACAGAGGCGGTCAAACCATTGAAACCGGAAAGAACATTTGGGATCATGGGAAACCCTGCATCTTTCTCTATGTTATACTTGTTTGTCTTCACATATCGGCTACATAACATGGCTTTTCCTTTAGAGATACGAATAGCATGGAACTTGCCATCGCCATCGAAAAGGTGGTACGGACCTCGTGGTAGAAACTGCGGGTTAGGCCCATTGCGAAAGTAAACCCCATCAAGGCAACTCAGAAGCATACCCTCACTGACTTCACAGTCGGTAGGAGGGAGTTCATCAACCGGATAAAAGTTATCCAACAAGACATGCCACGGGTTAACCGAATCCCGAGTTGGTGGATCTATGAATTTGTTTATGATATCATCAAATGCATTGAAGATCATGGAAAGTAACAACCAGTCGATCTTCGCTGATTTTGTAACGCGTTTCTTATCGTTCGAGGTGATTGTTGGCCATTTTGATCGATCTTGACTAGACCTCTTGGTGGTGCTTGTGACGGTTTGCGGCTTTTCTCCGTTTCGGACCGACAAAATACGAAATTGAGAAGGTGGTGTCGATAACGACAGTGGTGGTGGTGGTCGGGTTGAGACGGTTGAACGGAAAGATAATGAAAGAGGGTCCATATTGTGTCGTGAAATGGCTAAAGCAGACTCACTTATATAACCAAATAATTCATATTTCAAGATCAAATAGTAGGTGAAGGCATGTTTCACATTTTTTTGTACGATCTCAAAAAAAAATTTTGGATTTTTTTAAAACCAACCCACTACGGACATACATACTTTAAAAAAAATGGTAAATCCAACGGAACAACATGGTGTTTCTGGTAATTGGTGAATGGTTTGGTACATAATGATTAAGTAGTTCTTATGATATAGTGCAAAATGAAATATAATTGTTTGATAATTGTGTACACTGAAATTAGGGCTCTTAATGGTTAAGGGAGATCCAGGATACAAAATCATTCAGAGGATTTTAGAACCATTGAGAAGTAGATTTTATTTTTTGTCAAACAAGATTCATCTATTAACGATTCAGAGGTTGCCTCTTAATGGAACTATTAAGAGGTAAATAAACAACCCCTTAGTTGGTATTTATTTTAGGGGAGCGTTAATGGCAATCCTAACAGTGGTGCTGATTAGATTTGGTAAAAAAAATTATTAACCTGGATAACCAACCCGTTATTTGAGCCGACTAATCTCAGTGCGACCACCTATTTTGCAGATAGCTCGAAGTCACCGCATTTGAACATTCATGGCCACAAGGAATTTTTATTCCTCCTTAATTGAATCCAATATTTCTTATAACCATTAACTCAATTAATCTATACTATCTTATAAATGAGATTTAACAAAAGTCTTAAAAACAATATCTAATGCATTTGGTACTACCTTATAATGCATAAAGTCTTAAAGTCTTAAAAACAAGTTTGTAAGCCTAAAGTACAACTCAACGCTTCAAATTATCAATGCTATGTTGATTTAGGTTATCAGACACGCTTCCAAACACGCTCTCCAATGTGACGATTCAAGCACGCTCATCGCTTCCTTCCCAAAGCGACGATTTCCAAATTGATTTTCTCAATGATGTCGATTGAATTCAAGACCATATATCAATGAGGTTAGGGTTCTTTTCGCTTCTTAATGCGATCCATAATTCCCAATTCCATATTGTTAGGTTTTTTCCATTCGATCCATCGCTCTTAATTTCATACGGTTTGTTTTTAATTTCCTTCTTACGGTACTATGGTAGA